AGGGAGGGAGGGAGCGCGGGTCTCCCGCATTCGCCGTAGCAGCCGCTGCATCCATTTGTGTGGGGCGCTGAAACCTCTCCTCCTCGCCTGGGAGAGGCGCCTTGGTTTGCACCTAATTCTGTTTAAATTCCACTCCCCGCCGGCACGCACTTTTATGTGGAGGGGAGAGTGAGTAATGATTAAAAAGGTCACCGGGCTGTTGCTGATCTCGTGTGCTGAATTCTTAGCAGCGCTTCTTTTCTGCTTCCATCTGGTCTAAAGGTGGTGCTTAAGGCACGTTGCTCTTGGCAACCGTCTTCAGGAATGCGTGTTTCTTTGGACAAGACTAAACGGGTCCGTGTATCATTGCGGGGTTTATTTTGCATTCAGTCTGATCCATAATCATGGCCATGAAATTAGAGCTAGGTCTGCCTGTAATCTGGCACCGTCCGTCTGTCTGTGCTCCCACGAACCGGGACTGACAACCGGTGCCGAGGGTCGGTCTCTAGGAGTCTAAATTACTTTCAAGGGGAGCTGTGTAAACAAACATCTTCCCAGCCGCACCGTTAGCGAAAGGTGAGCTCTCCTTCTTTAGATCAGATTCTCGCTGAATTGTTAGTCTGGTGTACCTACAGAGACAGCCCTGGAGAGCAGCGTTTTGATAATGATTGGAATAATAACTAATCCAAAGGCTGCAGGGTGGTGCAGCGGGACGCCGTCGCCCGGTGACAGGGTCGCGCAGGCATGCGTTTTCCCAGGCTGACTTCCCTTCCCAGCTGCCTCCTGGTCGGTTAGCGAGTTGTGCTCACTCCGTCCTTTGTAGCAGCGAGGTGTGAATCCGCTGTTGAACCGAGGCAAGCTTCTCTTGTTACTCAGAAGCATTGCCGCCTACCCGCCTCTGAGCCTTGGAAGTAGGTAGGGAGCGGTGGATTAGTTTAGTTTAGTATGGAAAATGTTAGACGTAAGAGAGAGCGAGGAAGACTTGCCCTGCTCAGCCGGGCCCGTTGCACATCTCTGTTTTAAGGAGTCTGGGTTTAGCCTAGTCCAGGTGTGGAGTGGCCCTGTCTCTGACCGGGAGAGAACTCCCGCTCCTTCCCCAGGGGCTGACATCTCTTCCTCTTCGTAGGGCATGGCGGACAGGAGGGAAAGAGCAGGGAAAAGAAAGAACGAGTTGTGAAAAAGCTTTGGTTGTTTCTGAGAGGGGGATTCCCCGCCGCCCCCTCCGGGTTCCTGTGCTATCTGTCCCTGCGGGATGTCCTTGCGACCAGGAGGACGGGATGCTGGTGCCTTCCCGTGGAGTCCTTCCCGAGGAGAAGCGAGAGCTGAGGAGATTCCCTCCAGAAGGCAGCCTGCCAGCCCCCGCTCTTCTTCCTCAGCCAGCAGCGCTATGGCAACAGGGGAGAGCTTAAAGCCTGCCAGAGCTCCAGCCCCCTCATTCCTCCTGTGCAAATTAACCACCCTAGATTCGCATTGTCCTTCCCACGGCTTCTCTCACTGTTGGGACTAGCCAGCATATCCTTTCTCGCTTTCTCGCTCTCAAGCTACCTTTTAGCAACCTCAGGGGGAAGTCGAGCCGCCTGGGTTATCTGTCAAGCGCGGGGGGTAATTTTTGCCCGCGCCTAATGCAGCAAACACGCGGAGAGGCTGCAGGGAAGGCATAACTCCCTCCCCAGCAGCACTCGCTCAGGCATCTGAACGCCCGCCTGCGGGAGCAAGGCAGCGTGGTGACTGGGCATCACACCAGGCGCCCTTCCTAAGCGACCCTTTGCTTCATGGGGTACGCGGCCAAGCTCCCCCCCTCGTCCTTTCTGCATAGCTTGCCATAAGCCAGCCCAGGGAACGCCGAGGGCGAGCCTTGTGCCCGCGGTACCCCAAGGTGTCCGACGGGAACGGTCCTAAACCATTGCTGCGGATGGAAGGGCAGGTCCCAGCTTGAAGAGGCAGAAAAGCAGCAGCGTAGTATTTGTCTCTCCGCTGGGCTAAGTGTGATGGAAACCTTTTCCTTATCGCTTGGCACCGCGCAACAGCCAAAATACGTGACCGCTGGCAGGTCCGTTCCGTTACCGGGAATTACCTTTCGTAGCTTTCCGATTCACTGCTCCTGAGTAAGGGCAGCCCCAGGGCAGCAGCTGCCCAGAAACATCAGGTAGCCCAGCAGACGCCCAGCCCAGCCGAGCCGCCCCAGCCTCCCCCCCATCACCTTTTCGCAGGCTCCCTCGCTTCTGCCTTTACCTCCCTGGGGGCATCCCAGCACTTTGCCCTGTAAGGCTGAATTAACAAAATATTAAGAGCCGTTCATCATCAGTAACTGCTCACCCGTGCTTCCAGAAACCCGCCCCTTCCCTTGCCCAAGGCAGTAAGAGCCTGAGCTGTTTAAACCCCCTTACCTCACCTATTCCTACACGAGGCATGAACGTCTGCTCTTTGAAATCTGGAGCACTCTAAAATACCCTCCTTTATTTAAATTGCCCGTTTCGGGCCTTGCCTCTGCTGCCGTGGGCAATTCGTCTTTCCTACAGGGAAGGTGTGAAGAGGGGCCTGTGACTGGAAGGCGAAAACGGTTTGGCCATTGAGTTCCCTCTCAGGTAACTCATTAACCACGAAAGTGTGGTGAAAGACTAAAGACCTCCACCTCAGGGGCCCGCTGGGCTGATAAGTTTCCTCGTGTTGTGAGGTGTTTTGTTTTCTTCAGCACACTCAAAAAGAAGGGTAAAGAAAAGTAGAGGCCCGGGTTTGTTGTAGTCTCGACTTTGGAGTACGTTGCTTTGAATTGCCTGACTTCAAGCAGATGAGGAAGAGAGCTGAATGTTGTGTGTTACAGTGAACTACAAGGGAAGGGGTGTGTGTGTGTCGTCTTCCAGCTTAAAAGGGAAAGAAAGCCAAGAGAGGGATGGGAATGCATTTCAGGGAATGAAGGGAGTGTTTTGGACTCTTACTGGAAACATTTCTTACTACCGACTTTTTTTTTTAACCCTATCCCCACCCCCCAAACTATTATGAAGCCTAGCACTTTCCCTTTGCCCTCCATAATAATAATGGCAATTCAAAAAAAGAAAGCTGTGTATCACCTTGTAATCTTTGAGACTGACGAAAAAACAACCTCGCTTCTCAACTCCACCGTGGGAACATGCAGAGGTGAATTACTATACACTTAGAGTCTTCCTCTGTGAAGTTTTAGCATGGATTTCATCTGACATACTTCTTAGCTGAGCTCCTTTGGCTCAAACAGATTAAGTTTATCTTCATAGAATCGTTTTTACGAGATCGAGTGTGGCAGAACCAGAGAAGAGGCCAGCTCATCGCATCCACTGCTTGTGCAGTTGTCAGTGGGTGCCGAACCACACGTTTCTGGGGTTCAAGTGACCATTTTGACACTGTAGCATTTTAAACCAGACAAGTCATCAAACAGCAGTGAGAGTTAGCTCTGCGCGAAAAGGTATGAGACATGAGTCCAAGTGAAAAATACCTGCTGGGTAATCACGTAGAGTTTTCCTAGACTGGACCTGCAGTAGCTCTCCTAGATGTGCACTTCTCTTATTTGGATGTTGCACTGACACCTTTTAGTGGAGGGATGTAACCTTTGCGACTGTATTTAGGAAAGAAATGAGAAAATGTACCTATCTGGTTTTAGTGGGGAAGGCAGTCTGCCTTCAGATCAAGCACGCTATGAAAATCAGCAAAATAAACACCTATGGGGGCAGCCCTCGGAGGTCTGTGGCTTGGTAATTCCAGTATTTAGAGCCAATGAAAATTTTACTGTCAAGGACAAGAAACTTTCAATATGTGTTAACATCCTCACAGAGAAGAGTTCAAAATCGGTCTTATAAACAACAACAGAAATCTTTGAAAGAAGAGTAAGGTTAAGAGCCTCGGGAAGGCAACAAAGAGGTGAGAAGCATTGTTATTGACTGGTCTAGATTAAACAGCACGGAGGAAGATTTCAATTTGATAACGTCACAACCCTTCCTGTTTTTCTTTGCTGCTTCTGCTGACAATTTTGTAAGGTAATTAAATTGGCTGATTGAAGTCACAGTGGTCATGGGGCGATAAAGACCATTTGGATTTAATGGAATTTAGAAACAACGGTGCACTGCACACAACTCTTAC